TCTCTCCTCTCTCTCTCTCTCTCTCTCTCTCTCTCTCTCTCTCTCTCTCTACTCTCTTCTTGTCATGTAACCTCGAATTAATTTCTTCTGCAAATATATAACCTACGCATTTATATTTCTAAATTCGCAGCATTCATCAAATTGAATTAAGATAAGAGTTATATCTTCATTTTTTTAATCAAATATCATTGCAACATTATGGCAAGTTATATATTTCTGATTGTAGATTAGTCTAGTGCCTAATTAACACTAGAGAAATAGAGAGAGATAGAAGGAGATACAGAGAATAGAGAATATAAAGAGATACAGAGAGATAGAGAGAGAGATATAGAGATATAAGAGATAGAGAGAGACGAGGAGAGACAGAAAAAAAAAAGAAAAAGAAAAAAAACCGAGGAGCGTGATCAGAGAGGCGGTGGAGCAGGAGAAAATAAAAACATTGCACAGAGCGAGTATAGAGACGAGGAGGAAGACAGAAAAAAAAGAAAAAAGAAAAAACAGAGAGAGACAAAAATAAAATACATTGCACAACTGTTCTGTAGCACGAACGAAATGTTTCTAGCGAGAGAATTTCAACTTTTTCATCACGGACCAAACATGTTGTCTAAACTTTTTCCATCACGACCCAGATAGATTTTGTACACTATACCTTCACTGCCCAGTATGTCCACTATTTCAACCAGATATCAGTTCATATATAGATAGATAGATAGATAGATAGACAGAGAGATAGTGATTGATTGCATTGATTGATTGATTGATTGATTGATAGATAGATAGATAGATAGATAGATAGATAGATTAGAGTAGATAAGAGAAGTAGATAGTAATAGATAGATAGATAGATAGATAGATAGATGATAGATGAAGATAGGATAGAGGATAGATAGATAGATAGATACGTAGTTAGGTAGATAGGTAGATATAGGTATGGATAGATACATAGATATAGGTATAGATAGCTAGATCTAGGTATAGATAGATAGATATAAGTATAGATAGATATAGGTATAGGATAAACAGATACAGGTATAGATAAACAGATACAGGTATAAGATTAAACAGATATAGATGGAGATATAGAGATATGAATATAGAAATCATTATTGTAATTATCATCATTATTGTTGCAGATGGAACAACTAAGGGTAAGAACCAAAGAACAAAAAAAAAAAAACACACCTTTCAAATTATTATTGTTAATTATGATGTGCCCGACCCACTGAACATTGATCTTGTGGCCCTGTAGTTTTTGAAAACCCTGGCCTAGATCTTGAAGAAAGTGAGTTTGGCAGAGATAAGAAAGGGGTGTACCGTATTTGAGATTTTTTTTAATGGGTTGTAGTTATTATCAAAAATACGATCAATTTTACAGTTATTTATTTATTGACCATTCATTAGTATCATAGTATCATCAATTTTATTCATTTCTTTTCTTCTCTGTCTCTCTGGTCTCTTCTCTCTACTCTCTCTCTCTCTCTCTCTCTCTCTCTCTCTCTCTCTCTCTCTCTCTCTCTCTCTCTATCTATCTATCTATCTCTGTCTCTCTCTCCTCTCTCTCTCCTCGTCTTCTGTCTCTGTCTCTGTCTGTCTCTCTCTCTCTCTCTCTCTCTCTCTTCTCTCTCTCTCTCTCTTTCTCTCTCTCTCTCTCTTCTCTCTCTCTCTCTCTCTCTCTCTCTCTCTCTCTCTCTCTCTTCTCTCTCTCTCTCTCTCTCTCTCTCTCTCTCTCTCTCTCTCTCTCTCTCTCTCTCTCTCTCTCTCTCTCTCTCTCTCTCTCTCTCTCTTCTCTCTCTCTTCTTCCCCCTTCAACATCCCACTCCTTCCATGCTTCCTTATCAATAATTTTTTCAATATCCCTTTCAGTAAAAAAAAACGCCACACCATGAAGCAGGTGTCGACCTCGTACCACATGGCACTCTGGCCTCTGCTCCTCCTCGGACCCTGGCACTTCCTTCACGTGGACGCTCTCAAGTGGACGTACCAGGTGGAAGAAGGCCTCGAGATGCCCAGAAATCTTAGCTTTTTCTTCGGCAACGTCTCCGAGCCATGTTGGTTTTTGGGCTTTTTTTTATAGGCTTTTTTTTATAGGCTTGGTTTTAGAATGGCTCGGTGTAGTGTTGTTGTTGTTTTTTTTGTTTTTCTTTCTTTTTTGTTTTGTTTTTTTAGTTGGTTGGTTATTTGGTTATCTCTTATTATTTTATTATTTGTTTGTTTATTTGTTTTTTACTGCATGGGAAGAATAAGTGTGTGTGCGGTGTGTGTGGGGGGGGGGTTGGGAGAGGTAGTGGGGGGTGCTGGGGTGGGGTGGGGGGGGGGGGTATGAGTCAAAACACCGGTTGGAAGCAAAACAAAAAACGTAGGAATTTCTCTGAATATCGGAAATTTTCCCTCTCTCCACAATTCTTTCCCCAGAAAAAAAAAAAAAATCTATATCACAAAAACTAAAACCGCATTTTTTGTCACGATTTAGTCCATATAATCCGGAACAATTTCTAAACCCTTTACCTGAGAATATGTGGGGGAGGGGGAGGGGGGGGGGGACGGCAACTACAACAGGGTGCGTTGTTTATAAAAAAGTTGAAGAACCGCTGGTCTGTGTTCTTCTACGAAAGCTTCTGGCGATGTGTTCGCATAATATCGCCGGTCACACGCCAGCCGAGGAACATTCACTTCGGTCAAATATCATTAAATGCAGATCAGTAATATATATATATATATATATATAATATATATATATATATATATATATATAGAGAGAGAGAGAGAGAGAGAGAGAAGAGAGAGAGAGAGAGAGAGAGAGAGAGGGAGAGAGAGAGAGAGAGAGAGAGAGAGAGAGAGAGAGAGAGAGAGAGAGAGAGAGAGAGAGAGAGTGAGAGAGAGAGAAGAGAGAGAGAGAGAGAGAGAGGAGGAAGAAGAGAGAGAGAGAGAGAGAGAGAGAGAGAGAGAGAGAGAGAGAGAGAGAGAGAGAGAGAGAGAGAGAGAGAGAGAGAGAGAGAGAGAGAGAGAGAGAGAGAGATTCATCATCAAAGGGCCGACGCCGACGGGGCCATAACCGCATCCATATAAGGTAACAGCAGCGCAGTCCTGTTACATCTGGTATAACACCGGGACAATTCCAGGTCAGTGTCCCTCGAAGATCTGTTCTGTCCTCTCTTATACCTTTAAT